CATGTGCTAGACTTGTTTAAAAAAATGAGAAGACGTGAGAAGTAGCGTATGCATGGGTGGGCAACCCTGGAGGAGGCGCATCAAAGGGAGCCATGGTGGATGGGAAACGTCGAATGCGAGGACGCCCACCGATGGGGCCATACTTGCTGACTCGTGTGGGAAAATTGTTCATGGTGGGACAGATTTTTGCGCCATATTGCGCACTCTTTTCTCCTTACAACCTATGGTATTTCATAAAAAAAAGTCCACTTGAATATTCTTCCTTGTACTTGTTCGGTAGTAAATTACGCCTACTTCAAATTTGATTAATGAAGAAAGGCTGTCTGTCGGTGTTGAAAAAAACTTCTAATTATGAGATCTTTTAGGACGCTGAAATGTTCATTCATAAAACGTCATATCCGTTGATTTGTTAATGTTGCCTTTGAAGCATGCAACACTCGTTGATGAACGTTTGCTAATCGCCCTGCCTCGCGGCTCGTTCTCGAGTCCCGCCCAGCATCCGGGCATTGGCTTGTAGCAGAGGGCATTGCTCTTGTCTTTGCCGGCAATGTATCAGTATCAGTATATTAAAAGGATATATAGATAGATTGCCTTTGAATTCCCTATTTGTATATATGTGTCGTGGTATCAAAAATTTATATCTCAGTTTGTTGGCGAGGCCAATTGTCATGAGCCTTGCGGTGTACATGGTTTTTTGAGCAGACATTGAGAAAACCGCGGAATTTTTAAGGAGAAAAACTGTCGCTCTTTTGGGGAGGGGGAGATTTGATGAAGTATGGGGTTTAGGAGAAAAAACGTCCGGTCTTGGGGGAAGGTCCAATAAGGGGGGCATTGCAGAGGTCACTGGGATCATCACCGAGTGCGGAAGATGCGGCCTGACACTTCCTTGCTGATTACAGAGTCCACCGACAGGTTGGAAAAACAGAAATATCTGCCCAGATCGTCGACAGTCCGTTGCGGGTCGAACCAAGGGTGAGCGTTTAGGCCGCCAGGTTCGGTTGATGCGATCGCTGACGGGGTCATCACGGTATGCAGACAGCCAAATAGGGAAGACCGCGGAGACCTTCGCATGGGGTAAATGGTAGGAGAACATAGTGATGTGAAAAAAAGCATATACAAATTTTACTTAACTATAGCTAGTATTATTATAATTGTAGATGGTCGCGCGCACTACTATATCGATGCAACTTTCGCTTAAAACCTCAAGAGATTCCGACATAACAACATCCACAGGAAGACTATTCCAAACTTCGACCATCCTTTTGGAGAATAAGTGCTTCCGAGCGCCAAGCCTGGCCCCAGTCACACGTAATTTGAAAGGAGGACCTCTCAAGTTCGTTGTTGTTGCTAACTCGAAGAAATCTCCTGATACAGGACGACAGTCCCGAACACGTACTGTGCGGAATGTTAGTATCAGGTCCCCCAGAAACTGCCTGTAGCGCAATGGAAAGAGGTTGAGATTCGACAGCCATATTTCATAAGGCTGCGAGCCCTGCCCCATAACAAGTTTGGTTGCGCGCCTTTG